ACTGCTGTACCCTCTATCTACATTTATGTTCCCTCCTCTCTGCTGTGCCCTCTCAATCTTTCTGTTCCCTCTGCACTGATGTATCCTTTCTCTACCTTTCTGTTCCCTCTCCACTGCTGTACCTTCTATCTATATTTCTGTTCCCTCTTCATTGCTGTGCCCTGTCAACCTTTTTGCCCAATCACTACCCCCACTCCACTGCTGTGCCTTTCCCTATGCCTGTGCACCTTCACTACTGCTGTGCCCACTCTCTACCTCTGTATTTTCACTCCACCGCTTGTTCATCTATTTACTTCTCTGCCCAAACTCCACTATTGTCTTCTCTCCCCACCCATCTGTTCCCTCTCCACTCCTGTGACCCCAGTTTATATCTCATTCCCTGTGGTTCCCTGTCTCTACCTCTCTTTCCTCACTGTTGGCTCACTCTCTACCTCTGTCCCATTTTTACTGCGGTGCCATCTTTCTGCTGTTCTCTCGCTTCTCCGCCAACTTGTATTATCTATCTTTATGGCCACTATTTACCTTTTATTCCCCTCTACACTGCTGTGCCCAATCATTGTCTCTTTATTCCCTCTCCACTGTTGAGTCCTTTCTCTACCTCTCTGTTCCTTCTCGCCTTCTGTCACTGTTCCCTACCTTTCATTCAATCTACACTGCTATTCCCTGTCTTTTACTCTCTTTCCTCTCTCCTTTGGCCACTCTCTACCTCTCCTGTTCATATAATTTTTCAATAGGTTGTTCAATATACTGTTTACAGTGCATGTTCTGTAAAACAAATGGAGGGGCCACAGTGGACGGGAGTTTATAGAAGTGGGGGAAAATGTTTTGAAAGCAGGTGGCCTTGCAATAGTTTAGTCTAAAGGCGTTGCGTAGTGTGCCCAATAGAAAATCTGTCCCTGATGTTATTGTGAGTTTGTATTTAATTAATAACCTTAGTGTCTGTTTATGTAATGACTTTTCCCCTATGCATAACAAGACAGTTATGTGGTCAGGTGCTTTTAAACAAACTATATTTCTCGCTTCGTGTGTGCTACTCTTTGATGGATATACGATAGCCAATAAACAGCTTTATAGACACTTCAGAGTTATCTATTAACCTTAGTATTGTATATACTCCTTCCCTTCCAACATTCTTCTCTTCAATAAGTAGGCCATATCATTTTTATGGTTAAAAACAAGCAAATGCATGTAAACCTCCTAACTTGAGAAGCTATGAAATCTTCCATTATTCTCCATGTATGTTCCTTTTTCAATGGAATTGGTGACAAACGCAAATGCTACTGACCTCAAATAGCCTCTAGGAGGTCTTGGAATAAGTGAGATACTATGTAGGATTGCCTCTGTCCCCACTCATTTGAAGTCTTGGACTCAAATCCAAGAGTGTTGGAGGAACTGCCATTTCTCACTCTACTCATTGTACGGTGTAAGTACAGGCTTAGATTATGGAAACTTTTTATGGAAAGCAATGCCACTACCGCCCCCTATACTGTGAGAATGTGTTGTATGGTATTTCAAAGATAGCTTCTGAAAGGAGGGGGCAGGTGGAATTGTTTAGGATCATGTTTGTGATACAGGTATGTGACACCAGCTCCAACAATAGTTTTTTAGTAGGGTGTGGATGGACACTATTTTGTCTCTTGTCAATTTGGTTCATCATTGGAAGTAAACTTGTACTCCACAGAGGGTCTGGGTTAAAGTGAACCTGTACTTTTGCCATTCTAGGCAAAGCAGTAGGTTCATGTTAATGCCCCCTCTCCTGTATCACATCATAACTTTTTCTTTGTTCCCCCCACCACTCTATTCAGTTGCTGGGAGCAGGAGAAACTTACATGTGTATTTTATGAGTAACTCAAGTCATAGTTAATACAGGGTTATGGACCCTCCCCATGTTTCACTACTGGTGCTTGGTGATTTGCTTAGCACTGATGCATAGAATGAGTCACATGCTTCTTCATACCTGAAAGCACCATAATATATTAATGTGACAAAAAAAGCAAACTATGAAAAAATCACTAGCCAATAGGGATAGGGTTTAAGTGCGGGGCAATGCAGGGTTTGCAGCGAACTGTTCGCAGTTTGCCTGAATGGAGAACATTTGTGCATGTTCGCCCAGGTGTCTAATGCAAATCCCTACAATGCATGGCCTAACCTATGAGCTATGGTTAGTTGGCAAACAATCACCCATAATGGGGGTTGGCAAATCAGCTCTTCCATCTGCCTGCCTTTTGTTAGTGTGCATTGGAGCTGAACAAGATAGGTACAGAGATGACAGTCAGGGAAATTTCAAGGAATGATAGTTTCTGCTGTACAGTCCTACAAACAGTTCTGTATGATGTCACTGGCACATTACACTGAATTGCAGTGTGGTGGGCTCAACAGTCCTTTTTAGGACTACTTTTTTGTTTGTGTTTCTTTTTTTTCCAGGGGTGTTTGTAATGGGTTCCTTATGTTGCTTTATTTCAAATATTTTTTTTAAGTTCTGCTAATAAATAAATACATAATTACAATTTCTCTTTGAATCTGGCACCCAAAAAATTATTATACAATAAAGCATCATTATCTCCATTGCCATCTTCTTTCACCACTGCAGGCATGCCAGCATTACCATCTTGCGCTGCCTCTATAGCTTTAATCCAGATCTTCAGCACTCTCATGGTGTCACACATTATTTTTACGCAGTTGACCACTGGCCAATGGAACATTTTCAACCAAGTCCTTGCATTATAGATAGAAGATTAAGTCATAGTGAAACTAATGCAGTTTTCAGCTCAAAACGTAGCCACAGTAATAGCTTTAGGCCTCATGCACACTAGCATGCTGCATTTAAGCCCAGCAGAAGTTATCTGGTAAGTAAAAACAACTTTGTTTCTCCGATCACTTTTTTCTGTGCTGGGCTTAGTCGCATTTATACTCATTTACACACGTTTACACACGTTTAGCCACATAAAACTGGGCTAGCCGGACCTGGAACACAGAAATTTCTATTTTGGGTCCCCTGACCTAGACTGAAGGCACCTACACGCTGCTGGATGCCAAGGTGTGCATTCAGTCATAGAAACGCATTATATGAGTCCAGTTGAATTTAGAAATGAGCTCCAAACGCACCTGAACTCAGCATTTTGGTATGTAGTGTGCATGAGGCCTAAGATGAACTAAACAAAATTGGCTAAGTAGTTGGGGCTCTTGCCTTGCAGATCTGTGTCTTGTGTTTAAATCCCACCAAAGGCTTCAGCTGCATTAGGTTTGTTAATCCTCCCTGTGTGGGTTTTCTTTGGTATTTAAGTTTTCTCTTATATCTGAAATACCGAATGTTGCCTCACCAACTGGCCTTTAGAGCGTGTATGACTGTGGAAGAAACATTACGTTGCATGCTTCTTCAGCGACTAACGTTGATAGATTTATGCACTCTGTATAGATGTTATATACATATTTAAAAGCAAAAGAGAAATTTAATTTTGTATACATTTATTTATATTGTCCCTATACAAGGGCTAGAGAATACATCAGTTATCTCCTCTGTACCTACATTAAAGGTGTGAATACAGTGTATACATGGTGTATAGAGGGGCTTGGCATAAACAGAAAATCCTTTTTGCTCACTTCTGTATTCTGCATTTTGTAATATACACTTCAAGAGAATTGCCGAAGCTAGCCGAAGGATCGGCCGAAGCTACGGCCAGATCCTTCGGCAGCTTTGTGAATAGACCCCATAGAATTATTCAAGGCCTAATCTGAGATTAAAGCAGTCCTCTTCTCCTTATATACTTTTGTTTGGCCTTTGTATCACTCAAATTGCTACATTAAATGCCTAGTGAATGACAGGTACAAATAGCCGAACACTGATTTTAGGAACATTTTCAGAGGAAAAAAAGTAACTCAGAACACAATATGAAAGTACACCTTGAGAAAAAAAAAGGTATACAATGCGTGCACCTACAATCTATTTTAGTCCATAGTGCCTGAGAACCCCCATTGCTGCAATGCTTTAACTGACAAGATTTAACATTTCCTGATAGTGTTTAGGGCTGATTCACATCATACCACCTCCCATACCTTCTTTAAGGCTTGGCAGCCTTACTGGCTAAGAAGATGCAGGAAGGAAAGGGCTAGTCTTCAACATTATCAAGAAGTGTTAAATATTCTTTCCATATAAATTTTTTATTGGTTTCATCACAAAAGACATTACAGTACAACATAATGAATGGTGCTGAGCACCAGGTCTAAGAAGTGTTAAATATTCTATATGGAAGGCACCAAAAAGTTTCAAAAGGGGAGTCAGTGAGGACTGGCCCACTTAAAGAGGATAGATAATGCATGCAGACACCTTTGCTACTATAAGAAGTATTACTATGAGAGGCGTACTTTAACAAGTACTGATGAGAGTGTTATTTATTTAATTTGCCTACACAAATTCCCTGAGTACAGACTGTCATCTTACTCTATAGAGTTGGTCCATCCAATAGTGATATTTTAGTTATAGGGGAGCCTGGTGGCCAGATTCGTGTCTCTGTTCCTGCCCACAATGGGAGTTTTTGGTGTTCCCACCCACATTTGTGTGTTCCAGCTCTTTCCTTTACATTCTCCATAAAAAAATATCTAGCGGGATTATTATCTTGTACATTGGACCTTTATGTGTGTTTTACAATCTGTGTTGTAACCCTGAAACATTTTATTTTCAATAAAAACTATTTGGAAAAAAAAAATATATATCTAGCGGGGATGGTGGTAACCCCCTTAATAAAGGGTACAGCAGGTATATAAAGAGCAGGGAGCTCATAACAGACATCTCAACAATAGAGTCCCCAAAAAATAGAAGAGATGGTCAGGGGTAAAAAAAAAATCCTACAAGGTTTCAGGTAAAGGGTGAGGGTGGTTGTGGTGGAGCTAGAGCTGGAAATGTGGTTCTACTTTAACTCTCCAGCCTTTGAAAAAAATACATTTTAGTTTTGAGTAGACTTACTCTTTAATCTAAATTCAAAATTTTTGAAAGAAAAGCATACCTGCAGCTGTTTCTCAGTCTTTCCCGATATGTTTTTCTGATAATTTCATTCTTTTCATTTTCCGCTTGAAAGCTTGTCTCAGTGTAGACCGACCTTTTCACCAAATACTGGTTGTACCCAGTTTTGGGTATATCCATATTAGCTGACACCATCTGGCAAAGAGTCAATAATAGTGATTAAAAAGGAATGGGATTTGTTGTTATGTACATATATTTACAACGTCAGTTTTACTTTTCTGGGGAACATACTATAGAGGTGAAACTTGAATAATTAGAATATCGTGCAAAAGTAATTGCAGTAAGTGCTGCAAAAGGGGCCCAAACCAAGTACTGAGTACATATGCAGGCTTGTACTTTTCAGAGGTCCGATATTGTTCTATGTACAATCCTTGTTTTATTGATTGCATGTAATAATCTACTTTTATGAGGTTGTGGATTTGGGGTTCTTGGGGTTTTCATGAGCTGTAAGCCATAATCATCACGATTATGACAAATCACGGCTTGGATTATCTTGCTTTGCATGTAATGAGTCTCTCTCATATATTAGTTTCACCTTTTAAGTTGCATTAGTGAAATAAATGAACTTTGCACGATATTCTAATTATTCGAGTCTCACCTGTATTATAAGGCATGGGGTTTTCTCTAACTCTGTAATTGCCAATAGTGCCATTGGAATGTTCTTTTATTTCTCACTAGGCACCATGAAATCACAAAGGAGAATCTGTGCCTAACTCTATTCTTCCCACAGAACCCCGCTGAACCAAAAAGTAGAAGGAAGATGGTGAGTGGAGGGGTATGTACAAAGAAAACAAAACACAATATTATGTGCAGGGATATTGAGGGTTTATGGTTCTTTTAAGCAAATATGGAATTGGGCTTTAAACCATTAAACCATTTCTTCTATTACCCTGGGATGCTGTTTGCAGATCTCTACACTAAGGTCCCAGGTCTGCACACCTGCTGTAGCCATGAGAGTCTACCAACATCGTTACTGGAATTTTGATTTATTGTATAATATGGAGAGAGCAGTAAATGAAACTGTGACACACAAATGTGGGTGGAGACACACACTTTGGACATAAAAATAAACAAATAGGCTATACAATCATGGGTATGCCGCTAGGGAATTTGATGGAAGTATGTCTTTATTCAACCCCAAATACTATGTAACTATGTTTCATCTTTTTCTTGTGCATTGTATTCATAAACAAAGACAAAGCATGACGTGATCATTACATAGTTCTTGATGGGACTGTAGTATGTTCTTCTAAGACTAAATAAGTATCCTTAGGAGAGGGAACCATGCAGCTAAGGCGTCTAAACCAGTCAAAACACTGACTTGATCTACATCCAGGAGTCAGATTTATGGATTTTTTAAAATTAAACTAGATTATAAAATCCTTTTTTTCTGAGTTGTGAGAAAAAACTCTTCCAATGGGTAAACCTATTCTGGGAATATTGCCTTGTTGTGTCTCTGGGACACAAAGTGAAGTGGACACAGACAGAAGAAAAAAAAATGTCAGAGAGCTTAAAAAAAGGCTTTACATACATTTTAAAACTGCCAATATAACAGACGTTGTTCAAGAGCATTGAAAACAGCATTGTAAAGTCAGGTTACAAAGGCAATAATTACAAAAAAACAACTATCATCAACAGCAATATCCTAATTATAATAATAACTGTGCAGGTTATTGAAGATTAGTAGACAATGTGGCTAGAAATATACCTTATCCTTTTTTTAAATCTTTCATTGTTTAGAAGAGATAAACTTGATGAGCTTCTATTACAAAAAAGCTGTATTCTGATAACCTGATAACTAGGTTGACATAATTATATCAATCATTATGTTTTTTCTTACAGTCAGGATAATGGTAAATGTTTTGGGATAGTGTTTAAGTTAGAGAAAATGTCAATATACGTTTCAAATTGATTTTAAGAATTTCCTTTTAAGAATATTTATTGAAATAGAAATTGAACACTGCAGTTCAAAAGCAGTTCCTTACCTGAGCTTCTTCAGCCCAAGCCAACCTTGGAAGATGCTGAGATGTTTACTTGGCACTTTATATACTGCCACTAAGTCAAGGGAAGATCTTTTACAAGGTTTGTTTCTGCAAGATTACAAGAAAAATGTGACAACCAGTTGCATATAAATTTTGTGAATAGTGTTACAAAGATTTCCTTTTAGCCACAGTAAGTGACGGATTTCATACTGGCTATAGTTAAACATTTATACAGGTCATGACAGAGGAGAAACAGGGTAATCAGAGTATCAGAATATATATAATGTATACAATATATATATAAAGTTTTATAATAGGTATACCTATACTTTTCAGCTCATCAATCTCTTCATAAAGTTTAAGGTTGTTCATCAACCCCCCAGGCACATGAAAATAATTAAATTCATATTATTTTAATACTACTACTACTACTAATAATAATAATATTGTGAACACAGCTTCCATTATGGTTTATAAAAACCTGAATATTTAGTAAATGCACAGTAAATATTTATTTGGCATTTCTTTTTTTTCACTATGGGTGTACGCACTGGCATTCCAACAGAGTTTGAGGTGGTTTGGTTGTACTCACTGGCACTCCATCAGAGTCTGAAGTGAGTATTTTCACTGGTTCTTCAACAGAGTTTGGGGTGGGTGTGGCTTTTCAACAGAATTTGATTTAATTCACAATTTTTTTTAAGTCCCCCACGTGCACGAACATACAATGCAAACACGCGTCGGGTGCACCAAAGTACAAAAACAAAGATTGTGCCACACGTGTTACATATCGTTGCGAATGTTGGAGTGAGAGCAATAATTACCGGGCCATCAATCACTGGTAACACTAAACTGATGAGCAGTAAAAACTTTCAAAGCTTCGCTTTTGGGTAATTTGGGGGTATAGTAGTTTTTGCGGTTTAACGGGTCAATGCAATTTTAAGGCTTGACATGTTTGGTATCTATTTACCTAGCTTGACCCTATATTTTATATTTTACCAAAACATTGTGTATTTTATTCTGTTTCTGTGCACTAAATTTCATTTTAGTGTATTGTATCTTAAAAATACTGGTTTGAGAAACATTTGCACAAATACCGTGCGACATAAAAAATTGCAACTAGTGTTTTTTTTTAATATGTAATTATTTGGGGGTTTTAAGCTGTTTTCTATCCAAAAATTCAGATTTTATCATGTGTGTGCAAATAGTAAGAAATTGCTCTGGACAGCAAGTGGTTAAAGTTCATGAAGAGATTGATGAGCTGAAAAGTAAAAGGATACCTGTTATAAAACTTTTTAAATGTGAAATTTGTCAGGAAAGAAGGTTCTTGTATTCATCTGTTAGGGTATAGTCTATCCAGTAGAACTAAGTTGAGTGAAATTTTGAGACACAACTGGTCAGGTCTTCCATTAATTTAACATCATTGATGTTGTGAAGTCACTGTCGTATTGTGGGTGGAGTTGAGAGTCTTCAGAGGGCAGGAATACTAGAATGTGCCATGTTCACCATGTGAATTATGACTGAACTTCTTGAAGAATTTCTTAAGACCAAAACTCTTAAAGGAAATAAGCTGTAATGGAGTAGAAAAATTAAAGGCTCCTTAGGAATGGGCTGGCCCTTAAACTGTTGAACTGTGGTTTGGACCTGGATTGATCTACTTTTGACTCCCAGCCATTATATCAACCTATTTGGATAGTCCCTCAAACTGTTGGGAGTCAATATTGACCACTTAAGGGAAACCCTATTCTATAATACATATTGGTTAAAGAGTTGAATATTCACTCTTAAATTATTACAACTGTGTTGCTTTACCCACGTAAGATGTATATGTATATTTGCACCTTTTATTAAGCCTTTCTTTGTGTAAAGATGATAAATTCAGGTCACTTGAGGTCGGTCAATTGTTGCCTTTGTGAAATGCCTGAGCTCATGCTATAAAACATACTTCCAAGAACCTGAACTTCCTATTGCTATTTCAAATAACCCAACGCTATAGTAAAGATGAATGCAAACAACTTGAGGGCTCTGTCACCAAGTGACCGCCTTTCACCTGCCTCTCCTCAATGCAACAGTCGGTGCATGCTGAGCAGCAATGGCTGGGCCCAAGACTCTTTAGCAGGAGGAGTAGCACTCAGGCTAAGGCAGACATTTGAGGTCAGGTAGTTGTTAGTGAAGCAATGGTCAGCACCCAGTGGGTACTTTTTTAGATATAAGGGACCAAGTGACACCCTTTCACCTGCCTCTACTCAATGCAACAGTTGGTCCCTGCTGAGCAGCAATGGCTGGGCCCAAGACTCTTTAGCAGGAGGAGTAGTATTTACAACTGAGGATGCACTGCCCTTACTGAAACATGGAAGAATTCATTATTCTTATTAAAGTTGTTTTTTTTGTAAAGTAGGGATACTTTATATAAATGAAAAAAATATTTACATTATAATAATGTGTTTTTAAACATAATGAAAAATATCAATATAATTGTCCCAAAAAACAATGTTTCCCTCAAAAAAGGAAAACCTGTAATTTAGAGTGTCAAATACAGGGCAATGACATCTTCTGAAGAGCCATCTCCCAGAAGCTGCCCCGTTCTGGTTTTGGGGAAGTGCCAGTGACATTATCCTGTACCAGTGTTAAATGCTATAGCAAACATATAATCTCTGGGCTATGAAGACTTTAAAATACAGTACATTATAATATGCTGGATGTCTCGCATCACATCAGTGCAAATGGTCTATGACAGAAGTGGCCATTCACCCACTTCCTAATATAAGTTGGGAATTGGGAACCAGGAATGTCACAGGATAGAATGGAGAAGATTTAGAACCCCTGTTTGTTTTTGTTTTTTTCTGTCTGTGCCAACGCTAGGAAGACTCACCCCCTTTATTTGTTTTGGTGACCATTGTCATGGTGGACTAAAAGTAATAGGAAGATCCAAAATGTTGAGCTGTCATCCTATAAAAAAGAGAAAATAAAAAAATCAATGTGATTGACGTTGACTTTAACTATATAAAAGCCGGTAATATGTGTTTTGTTAACAATATTTATTTATTAATGGATATGCACAGGATGACAAAAGCAAAATTATAACCATGACACATGTTAGGTAAATATCAGACCAAAGAACAGTACAGATGTGATGAATATTAGAACAAGATAACA